CAACCATCCCACCCTTTTGGTATCTCTTGTGTTACTTTTCACTGCCAGTGGCAAGCCGCCTTGGAGGGGTCTTTTCTGCCTACTAGCAGGTATGAAAGCTAGTGGGACCCAGCACTGACTGTGGTGGCATCCTTGTGCTTCACAGTTCAGTTACTTCTACCTCCATGCACCTTATGGAACTTATTTGCCCATTTTCTGTGCTTCCTTATTTTATGGTTTGCTTCCGGTGGGACCAACAGGAAATAAATGGCATTTGCGATGTGCTGTATCTTCCTGCCATGTCCAGCTGTTAGATGGTAGGCTCTTCTGTTGACCAGTTGTCCGTGCTCCAGTGTGCAGATTTGCCTGGTTTGACAGAAAGTGTTTCTCGATTTTACTGCCTTTACTGCTGTGTTTTTGATTATCAACACAGGCCATTCTTTTAACCTTTGTTCTGCTGTTTCTTCTGGTGCTCACACACACCCATTTCCATGCACACTTTGCTCATACAAATCAAAACTTCAGTTTCAAGTCTCTGAAAGCTGATTTCACTTACTACGGAGTCAGCTGAATAGCAGAGGCAGGGAAAACAAGGAGATATTGCAGCTGCAAGTAGAGGACATCAGAGAGAAAGATGTACAGGGAGTGCATTTTAAACAGTAGCAAAAGGTTGCAGCAATCCAGCTGCTCTTCCACTGGTGTCTAACTTAAACAAAGCCTTGATATTCAAGGCTGGAATCACTCACTGCCCTATGAAAATGACACCGATTTGGGACTCCTGTCCCATGCAGTGATGTCTTTTGCCTCACCCAGTTGTGTTGTTTCACATAAACTGGTTCTGTTTGAAGCAGGTAAGGAAGTCAAGTATTGGAGCATTTATATTTGCAAAACATACCCACAAACAGGATAAATCCACCAATGTTTCTTTGTTTTCACTCAGGCCTGAACCAAAACCCTTCTTGAATGTATTTAAGTGGAGAATAGAACATGCTTGCCATGACTGCATTTGCAGCTTCCTTCTGCTTTACTTTCCTGCTCTGTGCTGATGATACTGTTCCAAGTATCCAGCAAAGCTCCTCAGACCATTAGTTCAGATTTCTAAGTGGATTAATGCAGAAACGCATGTTTTCATTGGAACTGGCTGAAAAACAAAAGACAAATAAATATAAGCAAATTATTGTACAGCTTACCTCTCTCATTATCTACTGCTTGAAGTTGGCAATACATTGCTGACTCAATGTTCGAATCATTTTCTACCTTATCAGTCAGTTCTGAAACTAGCTTGAGTATGGATCTCAGTTTTATCATCCTTAACAATCTGTTGACAACCCGAGAATGGATGTATACATACCCAGAGCATAAACCAGTCCAGAACTATCAACTTACTTTTCTAAAGCTAGACCTGACAAACGTGGCAAACTTCTCCTTCTACCTCTCCTTTTTCTATCGTTTTCCAAAAATAATTTCGTTTGTTCAAGTATCATAGCAAGGAGGCAGATATGGGGAAATGTGCACAATGAAAAGATCGCTATATAACATTCAGCAACAAAGAAAGAGCAAAACCACAGGCAGTCCCACCTTGGCCTTGTTCCTAGAGGTGGTTTTCTCTCTATGACCTGAGCAGTGACTGTGACTATGTAGTTTCACATGCCTTTCAAATCAGGCATCAGCAACAGGCAACACAGGCTGGCATTCACTTTATTTTCAAGGTAAACTTCCTGATCCAGAGGGAGCAGTTGATAGTTACTGTTCCTGAAACTTGCATTGCCAACGAGTTGCAGTATGAAAGCTCATCTCAAATGGATTTAGTCCTCAACTTTCTCCCCATCTTTTTGATTCAGTATTTGCTGTGCTTTTTCCCAGCCCCAGCCCTACTTCAACGCTACCAGGAACATGGCATTTCTGCTTCTGTCATGGTTTAATCCAGCCAGCAGCCAAGCCCATACTCGCTCACTCCCCACCAGAAGGACTGGGGAGAGAATCAGAAGGGTAAAACCTGGAAAACTCATGGGTTGAGATAAAGGCAGTTTAGTAGGGAAAGCAAAAGCCATGCACACAAGCAAAGCAAAATAAGGAAATCATTCACTGTTTCCCATGGGCAGGCAGGTGTTTAGCCATTTCCAGGAGAGGAGGGCCCCATCATGCCATGACCTGGGAAGACAAATGCCATCACTCCAAACGTCACCCCTTTCCTTCTTCTCCCCCCTGCCCCCAGCTTCATATACTGAGCATGATGTTGCATGGTATGAAATATCCCCTTGGGTCATTTGGGGTCACCTGTCTCAACTGTGCCTCCTCCCAGCTTCCCATGCACCCCCAACTTCCTTGCCAGCATGGCAATATAAGGAGCTGAAAAGGCCTTGGCTCTGTGTAAGCCCTGCTCAGAAACAACAAAACCATCTCTATTATCAGCCTTGTGTTGAGCACAAATCCAAAACACAGCCCCTCACCAGCCACTGTGAAGAAAATTAACCCCACCCCAGCCAAAACCAGCAGAGCTTCACAGCCCTGCCAGGACACACACTGCTGCAACCAGCACTGATCAGCAGTTGACTGTTAGTCGGGAACAAAGAAAAGTAACGGCATTGCTACATAAATACTACAATTAATTGGGTATGCTATGGTTTTTTTCCTACATTATATGCTTAATGATCTGTACTAGATTCATGTTAGGTTTATGCAGAGAGAGCAGAAGTCAGCAAGTAGATGAGGAAATGTGGCTGCCCCATCCCTGAAGTGTCCAAGGCCAGGTCGGACGGGACTTGGAGCAACCTGGTCTAGTGGACCATGGCAGGGGTGGAACGCGATGAGCTTTAAGGTGCCTTCCTACTCAAATCACTCCGTGATTCTACAACTATACGAAACCCCCACACCCCTTTCAATCACCTCTTGCATATCTGTTTCCCGGGTGATTTGCAGCCAAGGAAGCCTCCAGGCTGGGCGGTTTCCTGCCTCCTGCCCTCTGCTTTCGTTTTCGATTCCTCCCGAGCGCGGCCGGGCGGCGGAGCCCCGCTCCCGCCTTCGGTCCCGCCCGCCGCCAGCCCGCCGGCGCTCCCGCTCCGCTCCCGCTGCCGGTCCCAGGGCGCTGCCGTCCCGCGGAGGGCAGGATGAGCGACCCGGCCGTGTGCTGCTTCCTCACCAGGGCGCTGTGCGCGCAGGGCGGGCGGCTGGGGCTGCCGGAGCTGCAGCAGCACGCCGGGCTGTCGGCCCCGCAGCTGGCCGAGACGCTGGCGGCCGCGGGCCCCCGGCGCTTCCTGGTGCTGCGCGGCGGCGCCGAGGTGCTGGCCGTGTCCGACGTGCGGGTCTGTGCCCGCAGGGAGTGCGGCGGCTGCGAGCGGCTGCACCTCTGCAAGCTAAACCTCATGGGCAGGTGCCACATGCGGCCCAGGTGAGCGCGGGGGGCCCGAGGGGAGGGGAAGGGGAGGGAGGGGACGCCCCCCAAACCCCGGGGACAGAGGCAGCGCTCCCCCTCGGGCACAGCCGCGGGGCGGGAGATCCTGGCTCCGGAAGGACTCGCGTCCTGCCCTCGCGGAGTCGGTAAAAGCCCGAAGTGCCCGCGGTAGGTGGCAGTTTTCTAAAGCCTGGTTTTCTTTGTCAGTATTGCGATTGCTTTGTTTTGTTTTGTTTTAAATCCACTCGCCTTCACACCCGTCCCTCAGCCCCCGGGCATCTCGATGAAATAGTTTACACATATTTCTCTCCAAAGTAAAAAGCAAAGTGCTAGCATGGCCTCTGGTTTCACTCCAGAGAGTTACAAACGTTGAGTTTTGCTGTAACTCACCGCTTCGCTTACAGACTTTTCTGGGAGAGGCACTGCTCGATCGCCCATGTACATCAATCCCGGCTTCCGGAATACGGAGGACTCCAGGGAAGGGCAGGGCAGGCAAAGGTGGTACCTACTTTAAAAACATTAAGATAAAGGAAAACGAAAGTAAATACAGAAGAAAACAACCCAGAGGCTTTCCCGTGACAATCAGTGGCAACAGTGAGCTCTGATGGAAGAATTTGCAGTTTAAGCCCTCAAGCCCCAGGTCTTGTACTGTTGCAGTGTTACTAACCTGCTGGTACCCCACCGGATCCTTCCCCCAGTAAAACAGATGTGTGCTCGGATCTGAAGAGCTTGGAGGGGAAAGGCTGTGTCTCTCAGAGTGCACTAGCAAACCACAAGGATACTAAGATTTTCTTACTGTTTGTTGTATTACTGACAGAACGATGAGCTTCCCTGGGATTCACTGTTAGAAATGCCTTCAGGTGCGTGTAGGCACTCATGCTGGATGACTCTGTGAATTAAAACGTGCAATGAGGTGATTCCCTTAGTAATGATAAACCACTCTGTCCTCTCAATAGCACTAAGTATTTAAAATCACCTTAGTATGTGTTAAAAATTAATAAAGCAAAGAGTATGCCTTTCATCGGAGGGAGGTTGATTAAAATGAGGGGACAGAAACACTGCTAGGTGGACCAAATAGATCAAGAGAGAGACTATTTTCTAACTGATAAGGTAAAATCTAGCTTTGCTTCCAGACTTTGCATCCCTTTTGTTTTAGAATCCCTGGAAAGAAAAACGTCTGTACAAGTTACTGTGGTCTCGTATTTAGTGGAATCACAATTTTAGTCCAGTTAACCTTGTTTTTAACTGTCTCACAAGTAGCTTTTCATTGTTTTGTTTTTCTTTCCTGAATGTGTTATTGAACTCAGTTGTTTAGTTATCATTGTATTTGTGGAGTGTTTTAACCTTTGACTTGGAAATATGGACTCACTGTGTGACTGTCGGGGGAATCTGAAGTCGACTGTGGAGGAACACTGGTGATGGCTCACGCCTCAAGTACTCTGTGGCTTACCTACCTTCACAGCCATGTATTGAGTGCCTACAGCACCTAATAGCCCTAGAAGACTGTTTCTCAGCATCAAAGATGGCACACTTCTGCCCTTCAGACTTTGCAACCTTGTTTATTTGCTTACAAAGCAATGTGTCCAACAGGTAGCAGGGGTCAGGGGAGAAATATCTACTCAAGTGTCTGTACAGAAGGATTGGATCAGACATAGCCTGAGGTAAAAAACCTTTCACAAGGTGAGTTTCAAGAGTTAACTAGAGGCTGAAAGATCATAGACTTGACTCTGGAGTCAGATTAACAGATACTTTTGCTGGATGAGTATGTCTAGTCTTAAGACTGCATCAAATCACCTGTTAGAGAGCAGGACATGAAGAAGCTGTATTTTCTTGTTTCATTTTGGTTTGTTGTTTTTGGTTTTCTTTTTTTTTGCTTGTTTGTTTTGTTTTAAAAAATCAAACTTTCCAGCCAGCAAAGATAACAAATTGTGTTGTTTTCAGCTTCATTATCTCTTTGTTTTGCTCTCTTAGACTCTTGCATCTTTCCTTACATGCCATCCCTGGGACAACAACCTTTTACATTCACAGAATCAAGGGTTTTGCAACCTCCGGTGTTGTTGGTGTATTGCTCTAAAATTAACTTTCCCTCCAGCTGTTCAGATCATGTGACAGTGACTTGTATTTTACTGGAGGTGAAGAATGTGTGGGATAGACAGACTTGGCTTCAAATTTGTGCTGCTAAGTTTTTTTAAAGTGTTGTGGCCACGTCGGTGTTTAAAATGGGGATGATAATGCTCCTGCATTTCACAGAGGAGTTATGCTGTCTGGTCTGTTCTCTGGCTAATTGCAGAGACCACCTAAATGTTTACAGAGACTTTTGCCAAGTCCCCTTTCTCTCATGGCTTTTCCGAAGTTGCACGTTTTCTGAGGTTCTTCTTTAAATCAGCCTGACTCATGGAGTAAACATTGATATGTCTGTCTGTTTTCTTCCAGCTCCTGTAAGTACTCGCATGACATCACCAGTGCTGAGAACAGAAAAGTTCTAAAAAAACATGATTTGTCTGGCCTCAGTGAGGATGAGCTGCGAATCTTGCTTCTCCAAAACGACGCTTTCTTCCTCCCTGATGTGAGTTGTACTGATGTCTTAAAAGAAGCTTTTTGTTCACCAGGAATGGGAGAGGGTAACAGAGAATGTGGAGTTCTGATCTCAGTGTCAACCTGTTAAAATGTAACAGGATTATTCTGAATGAAGTAGGAATGGGGATGGCTATGTGTGAAAGCATCAGAAGAAACAATATAAAGGCCATAAAGTTACTCAAAACAAGCAAATAAAAATGTCAGCAGCTTCATTAGAGGTTTACCAGATACAACTGAAAGACCACAATAATTGTAATGCTTACAGGATAAGAGGTATAATGACCAAAAACCCAGTTTGTTGCTTCTTCTCCAAGAAATGATAGAGACTAGGAAGCAAGGTCCCATTTCCTTTTCCAGTCTTCCTAGGCCTGCACATTTTGGTGCATGAAGGTCTAAGGGAGTGAGAAAAATCTATGAGAAAATGACCAAATGACTGCAGTCATTTTTGTGTAAAATCTGCCTCTTCTAAAGTGCCCTGAGTTTTCATACAGTAATTTTCTATGGAGTTTGTCCAGTTTGTATGCCAGTCACCAAGTTTGTTAAATTCGGCTGAACATTCCATTCCGGGTCTGTGTGTGTGTAAGGGCAATACTGTCTTCAAGGTAAGTACAGCCTGTTACCCTTGTCTTTTGCAGGTTATAATCTCCACAGATCTGTTGACATAACAGTTCTATTGTTTCTTTAGTCCCTGCTGTGACAGGGCAGGACTTTGACAAAACAGATTTTTTTTTGTGTGTAGCATTTTAAAGTATGTTGCGCTGGCAGATTCAAGGAGCATGGTGGTGATAAGCAAGGGGGATTGTTCCCAGTAATGAACATATAGTAGCAACCATCATTGGTTGGTATTACCCTTACGCTCTACTGTGGATCTGTTCAGCCCTCACCACCCATTAATTACCTCTAATTGAGCACCTTAACTGCTATCATACAGTAAAACAGCAAAAACAAGAGAAAACCGTGATTGATGCAGGCCCTTCATAAACCTGAGAGCTGGGAAGAGGGATTGAAAAGCCAACTTGGCTGTTTCCTGCTTAGAAATGCTGACTGGTTGTGTGTGTGAGGACATGGCATATACAGAGCTCTCAAGCAAGGGGATGCTTTGGTATTCTGTGACCTGAATTGGGGTGCAGGGTAAGGAAAAAAACACAACAGCACCATAATGTCAGGGGTTTTCACACTTTCCCTCACCTTCCCTCTGTCTCTCTTTTTTTTTTTTGGTAGGTTTGGGGTTTTTTTGGTTTTCTTGTTGTTTTGGTTTTTATTTGTTTCTTGGCAAAGGCAAGGGACAGCTGCTTTCTTGATGTAGCTAAATAGTGGATTCCCTATTGTCATGTTTTTAAACCCTGATGGCAACTAAGTACCATGCAGCCACTTGCTCACTCCCCAACCCTGGTGGGATGGGGAGGAGAATTGGAAAACAAGTAAACTTGTGGATTGAGATAAGAATACTATAATAATTGAAATAAAATAAAACATACTAATAATAGCTGTAATGAGAAGGAGAGAGAGATGAATAAAGCCCAAGAAAAACAAGTAATTCACAATACAATTGCTCACAACGTGCTGAGTGATGCCCAGCCTGTCCCTGAGCAGCAATCAGTGGCTCCCAGCCAACTCCCTCTCTTTTTTATACTGGTCAGGATGTTCTACGGTGTGGAATATCCCTTTGGCCAGTTTGGTCAGCTTTCCTGGCCATGCCTTCTCCCAGCTCTTTGTGCCCCTGCTCACTTACAGAGCACGAGACACTGAGAAGTCCTTGACTGCAGTGAGCCCTGCTCAGCACTAACTAAAACAACTCTGTTATCAACATTCTTCTCATCCTGAATCCAAACCACAGCACTGTGCCAGCTACTACAGAGAAAATTAACTCTATCCCAGCCAAAACCAGGACACTTACTTCACTGAGGCAGCACTTGCTTCTGGTTTGGTGGTTTATTCTGCTGTTCCTGTGTAAAAATTTCATCCTGCATACTAACATCTTTTAATGTACCTTCCTCCAGATGCTCTGTAGAATTGTTCTCAGCCAGATTCAGTGTTCTGAAAACTCTGAGAGCTTCAGTTTGAAATTTAAGTGGCTGCAATCTCTGCTACCCTAAACTGGTAATTTTGGACACCATACAAAATAATCAGTTATTACCTGATTTTCTATTTTAGTTGCTTTTTTTCCCTATTCTCTTGAGCACCAAAGCAATTCCTGTGCTCTGGCCCCTGAAACCAGTGTTTGACATAAGTTTTATGCTTTTTTCAGTAATTCTTAAATCCAAGTTCAGGCTGTGTGACAGACACTATGAATCCAGTGAATAGTTGTTTTGCAGCTGAAACAGGCCTGATTTTCCAGTTTCTAAGCACTGCCATCCCAGCAATCTATAATTCCCTAGCTGATATATAAATCTATATATATTCAGCTTCAATGCAGCATTAAAACTGTCTGCTGGTGGGAAGAGGGGTTGGGAGGGGACCTGTGAGGGTCCCAGTGTGATGTGTCTGCCAGACAGCTGTGTGTCCTCCTCAAAGAAGCTTTCTTCTTAAGGCTGCTCCTCTGTGCTGCAGGAGCAAAAGTGTTGCTGTGGTGCTTGGTGGACAACATGAAGGAGTTTTTGGTGTGTGATTTGTTGCCTGGGTCTGATTCACTGCTTATCTCTTCGTTGGTGAATAGAGGACTAAAGAAATGTTTTGCTTTTTCCATATGTACTCTAATCTCAAAGCATTCTTCTCACCATTTTTGGAAGCCCAAATGCAGAATAAACTTTAGAAATAGAAAGTGCAAATTCAGTTTTATGCAATTGTCTTGCATCCTTTTTTGGCACTTCCACGCTTGTTGGATTGGTTTTTCTTGAAACAAAAACTGCACAACTTCAAACCCAAAAATGCATGAATCAGCTTAAAACACCTGCTACTCTGTGCCAGAAATCTGTCTAGATTGAAGAAGTCACAATGACCACATGCCTTTTAGTCACCATTTTTCTGCTCTTAAAGCTGCATGCCTTAGAACAAATAAAAATTCTAATGTGCTTTTCCGTTTCATCTTGTATCTTCCCCACTTCTAGACCTGCCAATTTTACAACAAAAAAGGTGGTGTCTGCATGCAGCAAAACAACTGCAACAAGCTTCATGTTTGTCGACACTTTCTCCAGGGGGATTGTAGATTTTTGCCATGCATGAGGTCCCATAACCTCTTGGATGACCATGCATTGAGAGTGTTGGAAACTGGAGGCATTGATGGGAAAATAGCTTCGAACCTCCAGATTATATATGATCACAAGCACATGGAATTCAACAAGGAACTGAAGAAGGGAAATGGTAAGTTGTAAGAAACACTGGGCTTAAATAGGATTTTGAATTTGATAGAGGTATAAACATCTCAGCTAAACCCCATCATCCTTTTGGTGCTTTCAGTACACAACTACAAACCAAGGGGAAATTATTTGAAACAAGCAGTAGTTACAAGGAATAAAGAACCTAAAGTGCCTTTGCAAACTGTGGACTCCACACTGCATGTGCCATCTCCAGAAGGTAAATATCTAGATATTAGTACCAACTGCTTCCATGTGGAATCAGCTCTTGTATTTCCCCTCTTGCAACGTGTACATGTTTTTTTCCTCTCTGCCATTATCTGCTTTCCGGAATTAAGTAAGTCGTGGCTGAATCATGTGGAGAACTGCACTATTATTGCCTAAAATACTGCATGGAAAATAGGTATTGAGTGGCTGGCTAGGGTTTGCAGCTGTTATTACTCATCTGTTGTATCAGCAGTGGAGCACAATTATGTGTGTGATGGACATAATTCTCCACACAGATTGGAATACTGCCAGCTCGCTGAGCTTCTGTCCCAGCAGTGCTGTTCATTCAGTCTTCTCATGCAGGTCCTGGTAGCACCCTGCCTGGTCAGAGACAACAGCAGTTGCCAACAGGAGGTAAAGATGAAGGTACGGATTGTTTCTACCTGTCTAGTCATGAGATCAGTGGTTCTCACTGGGATTAGATTTCACCCAGCCCCACATCTCCCAGGGGTAGTCAGAGTGCAGCTTCTGTGCTTACCTTACGGTATGCTGAGAGCCACAGTGCTGGACAGCAGAGCAGCACTGGCATTTCTGCCCAAGCACCACCACGAGGAGTAGCCTGGGACTGATGTCTGTACTGTCCTGGACACAATTCTTCCTTCCTGGGAAGGAGACAGATATCTTTCTTTGCCTTCTGTACCTAGGGAGTAAATATAGCTTTGTCAGTAGAGCAGTTATGTTTATATACCTTCCAGTGAGTGAATAGCAACTTATATGTCTCCTGTCCTGGGCCTTGGCTTTAAAGCCTGCCAGAGTCCAGTACTCTCTGAACAGGTTCTTTTAGATATTCCACATATGGATGGTGTAATGTTTAATATCAAATTATGTGTGATGGACATAGTTCTCCACACAGATTGGGATATTGCCAGCTCGCTGAGCTTCTGTCCCAGCAGTGCTGTTCATTCAGTCTTCTCATGCAGGTCCTGGTAGCACCCTGCCTGGTCAGAGACAACAGCAGTTGCCAACAGGAGCTGGAGGTAAAGATGAAGGTACGGATTGTTTCTAACCCTCCAGTCTTGAGCTTTTTTGAAGACAGTTGGTGTTACGCAGGTGTTGTGGACAAGCCTCAGTGAGCACCACAGAGCCACTTACTCACTTCCCCTCGACCCCCAGTGGGATGGGGAAGAGAAAAGAAAGAATAAAAACAAGAAAGCTTAAGGGTCAAGATGGGAGAGAGAGAAGAATCCCAATGGATAAGCAGAAGAAGAAAACAAAGCAAAAGCAGTGATGCAAAGGCAGTCACACACCACCTCCCACACATGCCTAGCCAGTTCCTGAGCAAAAGATAGCTAACCCTCATAAAACTCCCTCTTTTCCCTTTATTGCTGACCATTATGCTATATGGTATGCAATATTTGGTGAGTTTGGGTTCTCTGCCCAGTTGTGTCCCCTCCCAACCTACTGTGCACCCCCAAGTCTATTCACTTTGGGGGCAGGGTGAAAAACAGAGGCGGCCTTGATGCTGTGTATCACTGTTCAGGAAAAGCAAGGGCTTAATAGGGTGTTAGCAGCATTGTTTGGGTCAAAAATCTAAAACACAGCATCATATGAGCTGCTATGAAGAAAATTACATCTTATCCTAGCCAAGTCCAGTACAGAGACATTTCTGATATAGTAGAGTTTCCACTGGAAACAAAACCCAAAATATAAATGTTTACTTACCAAAATGTAGCAGTTGCAATGCACAGTTCAATCACAATGCTAATGGCACTCCCATTACAAGTCTGTATAATATGCTCATTGTCACAAAGCTGGGTGTCCCCAGTCTCTGGGAAGGGTTGAAGCCAGCTGAAGCCTGTTGCTGTCTTGAGAATTCTTTTGTTAGTTCTTTAGGTTTAGTACCTCCGTGTTGGGCTGAACTCCCCCCATGCTGGTCTGGCCAACTCAGGGAGAAACATTTCTACCCTGCATTGATCCGCTGAGCTGACACAGCCATTTATCCACCCTCTGCTTCCCGTGGTGTGGAGACAAAGTTGGCTGCTTTGCAAGAACCATGGTCAGCCACAGCCTGTGTTACTACTCTTCCTGACACTGCCCTTGTGCTTCTCCACTGAGACTTCTTCTAGTGTCAGGGTTTATTGGTCAGTCACAAAGCCCTGACTCGTGTGGTGGGCTGTATGGGGGATAGTCAGATCCTGAAAGTGCTTAACTTGGCTACTGCAGTCAAATCTTTGTTATTTCTGGGATGAAGTACCAAGCAGTGTCTTTCTCTTGAAGCAAATAAGGACTGATATGTTCTTTCCTGTAGATAAAAAGGACGATTCCTCTGCTGAAGCTTCAAAGGACAACAAAGAAGTTAACTGTGATGAGATCTGTGTGTTCTATGTCTGGAAGTACTGCAAACATAAGGGTAAGCTCTATAAAAAGTAATGTAGTCACTGGAGACAGTGACTGCAGAGACAGTCCCTGCTCAGTGGCTCGGGCTAGTGGTGGCATATGGAGTGTCAGTGGCAATTGTGCCTTCTCACTCACTGGAGAAACACCCCCCCCTCCTGTTTTCAGCACTCTGTCTTCATTGCTCATACCAAAGCCCAGGGAGAAAGCCTCAAGGTGTAAAATCTGCTGGTTCCTTTTTGGGTTTTGTTGGTTTGCTCTCTGTGTTATGATTACAGAATTCGACTATGTCTGGTCTTATTACAGATAAATGCAAATCTGTTCATTACCATTTGCCATATAAATGGGAGATATATGATGGGATCACCTGGAAAGACCTTTCCATGATGGAGGAAATTGAAAAGGCCTATTGTGACCCAAAAAACAGCAGGTATAGTGATGCTGGACTCCTTGCTTGGAGTACTGTGATTGAACCCCTGTGGAAAAACTCCCATTTTCTTCCAAAGATGTCTGACTTCCATAACTTCTGGCTACTGAGCCTCTCAGAATCTGGGAGGATGTACAAATGAGAATTTTTCCTTTTAAAAAGCAAAGTAAAAGTGATTGCATGGCAATATCACCCCATTTATGTCTTCTAAAAAGAACAAAACTGTATCTTACATTTAAAGCTCTGTGCAGGGTAAAAAGCAAGTGGAATACAGTGTTTAGAATATCAGCATTTCAGATAATGAATCATAATTTATTTACAGTAATGAAGTTGGGCCTTGTAACAACATATCAGAGCTGGTCCTTCTCTATGGCTGTTCTTTTCCTACTACAGCTAGTATGCGTCATAAAAATAACAACAACAATAATAATAATAATAGCAATATCTGTTGTATGCCTAGAGATATTTTATGAGATGGCCCTTGTGTAAGCAGCATATCTCTTTTTTTTCCTGTTTTTCTTTCTATTTTAAGTCCTTTCTGAAAAGCCCCACTGTGCCACCTGGATTCATAGGGGACCCCAAGTCTGGCTTCGAAAAATGTATAGTAATTTTAGCCCATGCCTCTTAAGGCAACAGATGACTTTGAACTGCATCTTGCTGGATGGTGCAGATCACAAGCAAGATTCACAAGAGGAGGCTGCTTTCAAAGCCTTCCTGCCTGGGAGTTAACTTCTCAAGCCTCACAGGAGTAAGAGCCCAGAGCTCCAGTGACGAATACAGTTTGCAGACCTCACAGCTGTGATGGTTGTGACTGCATCCTTTGTAACCACAGGAAAAGAACCAAGTTGATAAGCTGCGTGTACCTACAAAATTCTGGTTTTGCACTGAGACAAACTGGAAACTTTCCTTATTGCAGAGTACCTTTTGCCATGCGGTACTTGTAGTCCCGTGCTGTCTGTAAAGCTGGCAGTGCCACATGTGGCCAGTGACTGAGATGGCATTCCATGTCTCACAGGCCATAGTTTGCTTATGAAGCTTGGATATGGTTTTCAGAGCTGTCATGTGCTGTGGAAAATACTCTTTATTCAGGCCTAATCAAGTTCAGTCACATTATATTAAAGAAAATTGCACAAGCCTAAACAGAGGATTAGAGGATAAAAGATCTACTGTTAACTGTAAAAACCCTGAATTTGTCCTTACAGCATAGCAAGCAGGAACATTAACTTCCAGACAATGACCTGCTCTTCTTGTCCGGTTCGACGCCTCTCTACACCGTCATCAGTCACAAAACCCACATTCGTACTGACCACACAGTGGATTTGGTACTGGAAGAATAACGAAGGCCAATGGACTGAATATGGAGAGCAGGTGAGTTCATATCCTGTGCTTTGAGTCACTTCTGCAGGAGTATGTGGAGCCTCTCCCCCACTCCCCTTTACTCAGCAGGATTAATTAAGTGAATCCTTGTGCTTGAATTTTACAGTGTCAGGTAAGGCAGCAAAGCTACAGATGTTCATAACAGATGTGATAAAATGCTGACAGGCTGGAGGGAAGGGAACTGCCTTTTGGAGTTATCCATGGCTTCTCCACAGATCGAACATGTATACACAGTCCTTAAGATAGACGGGAAGTACTTGCCTCTCTTTGAATCATTGCCCTGCTTCCTTGGACGTGCAGGGGTTGCTTTGCTCTCTCAGATAAGATGCAGTCTTTTTCCTTGGATGGCCAGGTCCTCTGATGAGACACTAACCTATCTGAAAAATGCAGGAAAAGAAATAAGGAATCTCACCTTCCCCCAAGGCAAATGAGTTTTCCTCATATGCTTTACAGTATAGCTGTCCAAATGGTAGAACACAAAGGTGATCCAGGGACTTGGAAAAGTATGCAGGGAAAGATCTTGGATATAGTGCAGTTGGTAAAGGGCCTCAGCCTCAAGGAGTAAGCTTCAGAGGCATCCCAGCTCCAGGAGAGATCACTGCTGTGCAGCCCACTCCTTAGCAGGGAGAGCTCGAAACCAGTTCACTCAGGCTGTCCTATTTGTGGAATAAAGTGGTTGGCTCAGAGTTAAATTACATGCGAAGTAAAAGAGAAGCGTGAGACTCCTTAAACCTGCAACTTTCTTTACTCCTTGACAAATTAGTCTTGGAACAACCACCTGCTATTCATGTGTTAATCACATGGTCAGTGTTCATTTCCAAGCTCATATGCATCAATGCTCACCATGTCACCCTGTGCCTTTGTGGGTTTTCAGAGAACAGGCTGGAACTGGAAAAGTTCATGGCCTTGTCATGGCCTAGGCCATTACTTCCTTTGGGGCCTGAACCAAATAATGAACACTAGTTTGGTGAGGAGCCGAGTGCAGCTGTCACACCCAGATGGCAGCTCAGCCCCTCACAGCCGCTCGCTCCCTCCCCTGCCTCAGGACTGCTGAGGGAATCAGAAGGGTAAAAGTGAGAAAACTGGTGGGATGAGATAAAGACTAAGAGATAAAGCAAAAGCCATGCACACAAGCAAAGACAAACAAGGGATTCATCCCCCCCTTCCCATGGCAGGCAGGTGCTCAGCCATCCCAGGAAAGCCGGGCTCCACCACGGTCACAGTGACTTGGGAAGCTGAACACCATCACTCCAACATCCCCCCTTCCTCCTTCTCCCCCGGCTCTGTATGCTGAGCATGACCCCACATGGTCTGAGATGTCCCTGTGGCCAGCTGGGATCTCCTGTCCTGTCCCCTCCCAAGTCCTTGTGCCCCCCAGTCCCTCACTGGTGGGGCGGGTGGGGAGCAGAAAAGGCCTTGGCTCTGTGCAGGCCCTGCTCAGCAAGAACTAAAAGATCCCTGTGTTACCAGCACTGATCCAGCACAAACCCAAAGCACGGCCCCTACAGCTACTGGGAAGAAATGTAACTCTACCCCAGCCCAAACCAACACAACTTCTTACAGGATACACTCCTGTCTGTCATTACTACTTATGTATTTGTGTCTACGTTATGAATGTCCCTTACTCATGCATGCTTCAGGCCACCAGAGTTCTGAGTAGATTCCTCTTCATCCTACTCTTTGCCTCTTCTTTCCCTCCACCCAAGCGAGTTATCCAGGGTTTAGTCCTGACTGTGATACTCTTCCTTCTCTCTCTTTTTTTCTCTTCTTCCCACAAAGGGAGAAGGGGACAGTGTGGACTCGCCATCTTCTGCTATTCTTGAGAATTTGTATCAAGCAGATCCAGATGCCACCATATCTTTCCAGGCTGGTCAGCATCATTACAACCTCAATTTTAAAGGTACTCATTCTCACGTACAACTATGCAGTGCTGTACGAAGACTTAACTTGCAAACTCTCCCAGCTTTTAGAAGCTATGACTTCCTTTCCTGACACTACCATTTCACTTATTGGAAGGGGAAGTGAGGTAAGTGACCGTCCAGAGAAAATTCCTTACAAAAATAACCTTCTTCCCCCTTATTCCTTGACACTCTCCAGACTCACATATGACCAGAAATAAAAAGATTCATAGTCTTCACATAAAGTCATAGTAAACCTTAAGTAAAGTGAATTAACTCTGTGGATGGTAAAAAATACAAATCAAGCATCTTTGTGCTGCTGGAGTAACATTTAAAGAGCATGAGGGGCTTGAGGGAGCAAGCAAGATAGGCACAGGTTCAATCACAGTTACAGGAAGGACAAGCTTACATAGGCTTTGTGCAACTGTTCTTCAGCAGGTAGAATTGGTAATGAATATGCACTTTCTATTAAAGAATGCCTGTTCTTAATTAATGACCCCATCCTGCAGATTTATTCATTTTTTTCCTGCTCTTTTTCTCTTCAAGAAATGACCCAGACAAACATTGCTTTTAAAACTCGAAGAGAGGTCTGCAGGAGACCAAAATTTGTGTCTTCTGAAGATGTGCAGAAGATTAAGAAAGGGTAAATGATGCTCTTTATGTTGTTGTTTTTTTCATATTTCAGAAGTGATTATAGGGCAAAATGGCTGCCAGTGCTGGCAGTAACTGTGCAAAGAACACAGCTGCTGTTGGGAGGAAGCACATCCCTGGCACTGAACAGAGGCTGTATCACAAACTGTTGGCTTGGTGCCTCACCTGGCATCTGGGGTACTTGTTACTCCAGGTACTACGGCCACAGTTGTTACTTAAAAAAGCAAGTGCAAGAGGCCTGTGATGGAGTGGCATCATGCAAAGCCCAGCTCACAGTCTGAGGCCATTTCCCAGTTTCTTCGTGGTTTATCTTGTTAATTTTTAAATGCAGGAATTAGCCAAAGGGCATGCTGCAAATTTGAATGTTCAGAGCAGTACTAGAATTACTAATTACTTAATTTTCTGTGTTTGCACACAGCCAGAGGGATTCTTCTATTCCAAATCAAGCCTGTCCTAGCCACTGGGATCAATCTGCACTGCCTGACTTGGGATACAAGGTATCTTTTTTCTTTCCATACTTGTAATTCTGATGGAAAAGCAGGATTCAAAGCTTAACTGAATCAATTCTAACTGTGTAGATGCTGAAAAGGGACAGGAGTGATTTCTTGGGGGTGTGTGCTAAAGATCTTTGTGATCTCCCAAGAACTCCTGAAAAAGGTGCCAAATTCCCTTGAACTTCACCTGCATTTTAGCTATTTATTTATATGCAAACCCAAAACTCACCAAGTTCGAGACAAAAAGATTCACTGTTAAAATTAAAAACTGCCTTACCTTGGTTACTTAGTGGACCAGTTAAGCAAAGGGCTTTTATGAAGCATGTATTTCTTCACTAGAAGCTGGACTGAGACCAGACCCTGCAAACCATTAACAGGCTGTCCAGTAATGCTGTCGTGGCTGTTGGTAAATGAACTTTGGATTGGAAACCTAGGAAAGGAGATCTCTATATCCTCCAGTACTGTCGCATACATCACAGATCTGAGCACAGACCTTGGCCTCCAGGAATGGCAGAAATAAAGAGCTATGGCAATAAAATAAGAGAACATTTGGAGTGATCTCTTCAACAAAACAAACCCACCCACTGTCAGCCCAAAGTGTATGTTCCTATTTAGTTTACCAGGGCCAAAATGTGTGGGTGTTTTTTAGCTTACTACCTCCAGCAGTTGTTCTGGAAAAGCAGCACAGTTTGTGGAAGTACTACAGGACGCTAGAAAAAAGGCTTTTTTTGTATTAGACTTGTTCTGGTCAGGTCACTGTCACTAATACTAACTCTGCTCCTTCCAAACTCCAAGGGAAGCAGAGCTCACAGTGTGATATCACAGAGTACTGTGCTTGTACAGTCACACACTAATGGAAATCACTGTCAGGGCAGTGATTCTTGCTCTGCCTCGGGAACTCCTCTCCTTGATAACGGGACAGCAAATGCTCACACTCAGCAGGATTTTCCTTTTCAGGCCTGCAGGTGAAAAACACTGAAAAAGTTGTGTAGTTATGAAGTATCAGCCTGCACTAGCTATGACCCTTTATTAGCAGTGGAAGCATCCTTGGGGAAATGAGGACAACCCCACAAAGTTTTCATGGAAAGGAGAACAGGCTTTGTTTTCTGGAGGCCGACATATTATAAAATAATAGCAGTACCTTTCTTACAGGATTAGGCCTTGTGCCACATGGCTGAGCCTCTGTTTTACCTAAGAAGGTTACAGTTCCTCAGGAAAAGATCACAGAATCACAGAATATACTGGGTTGGAAGGGACCCATCAGGATCATCATTCCAGCTCCTAGCCCTGCAAGGGACACCCCCAGAGTCACACCATCTGGAAGATGCAGCATAGCAACAGCAGAAGGACATGGAGCTGCTGGAGCGAGTCCAGAGGAGGACACCAAGATGAACAGAGGGATGGAGCAGCTCTGCTGGGAGGAAAGGCTGAGAGAGTTGGAATTGTTCAACTGGAGAAGCTTCAGGGTGACCTAATTGTGGCTCTCCAGTGCCTGAAGGTGCCCTCAAGAAAGATGGAGAGACTATTTACAAGGGCCTGGAGTGACAGGACAAGGGTGAATGGCTTCACACTGACAGAGAATAAGACTAGATGGGATATTAGGAAGAATCCTTCCCTGTGAGGGTGGTGAGGCCCTGGCACGGGTTGTCCAGAGAAGCTGTGGCTGCCTCATCCCTGGAATGGATGGGTTCCAAGGCCAGGTTGGATGGGGCTCAGAGCAACCTGGGATAGTGGAAGGTGTCCCTACTCATGGCAGGGAGTGGGACTGGATGAGCTTTAAGGTCCTTTCCAACCCAAACCATTCTCTGATTCTAAATAAAAGATGTAGTACTGAAGTACAGTGACATAATTTTAATCCTGTAGGTGATGGTGAACAGCTTGAACTGTGGTGCCACAGAGTGTGCAGATAATCAGGTTTTGCTCATCCCAATTCTTTTATGTGTTGTGTTGTAAAGCAGCTTTGGAAAACGCTCCTCTATTGAGACGCAGGAAATTTTGCTCAACCTTGTTAAGGCTTTTAAATAAATTCAAAGAAATGGTTCTTTCTTGTGCAGGTGACTTTATTCTTCATCTATAGACTTCCCTGTGACAGGTCTCTTCATTAGTAAGTACTTAATGCACAAGCTGGGCATGGTGTCCAGAAAAGCACTTCTTTATGCAGCTGTGAAATACAAGTCCTATTTTATATTCTCTCCAAACTCAGCCTTCTAAAATGTGGAGGTTTTGCCTGGTAGGTCAGGATGTTGGTTCCCTGTTACCCTCCAGGATGGCTCCAGCTTTCCTGCTTAAAACATCCCACTTTAGAACGTGGGATGTTGGGCATTTCACTTTATGGCATGTTGAGTCCCCACCTGGCTTGGGCTGCGGTGAAGTGGAAAGTATTATCAGGTGACATCAGTCTGCCAGCATCATGCTTTTGCAGTTTATGGAGATAAACATTAATTCCAGAAGATTAAAGACATGGGTTACTTTGGAGAAAAAATGGAAAATTTATGTATGACATAAGCAAGCAGAAGAGCTCAAATAATGTTTTAATCATATTTTGCATTAACTTTTCCTTGGGAAAAAATGTGCATTTCTTAACAGATTTTTAAACATGAAAAGTAGGGATAAATAGACAAATAAAAGAATAATAGATTATTAATAGACTTAGTTACCTTCAGGAAAGGAGATGTATTTGCTTAAGCAGGTATTTAGTGTCACATTTGTTTAGAATTGTAGCTTCTTTTCTTAGGTCTATATTTAAGTGCAGCTTTCCAAATTCTAACTTTGAAAAGTTAAGGTGCTACAATGCCAGGAGGGTGTATGTGCTTTTTGTTTCCCAGCTGAAGCTCCCATAAATGTCTGGTTACAAATGATACTGTTATCTAACATCTTTTGTTCTTAATCAGCTTTAGATATAAAACTGACACTATCTGGAATAATGAGTCAAGTTTTCTTTTTTGTGATTTCTGTTTCACTGAGATTTAAAGTTGGAAGTGTCAGCTCTTGGAGATGATAAACCTGTAACTGATGCTTTCAGCATCCTTTCTGAAGAGAGGTGAGGTGTCCTTGCAAAGCAGGAGTGACATACTGACTTACTTATTATTTAATTATTCACATAGTCACTATCTAAAGCATTACATTACCCTTATAAGCATAGTTTGGGGACCCTTCTGGAAGTGCACCTGCTGTAATTAGGCTTCCACATGTTACGAGCCAACTGAAGCCTCATGTCTTCTTATGCTTGGTTTGTATTTTATAGGCAGTGGTGATCAGCAGTGTGACCTCTGAATACAACGCAATAAAGCAGCTGTTCCATCAGACTATGAAAACCTACAGCATCCTTAAAATACAGAGGATTCAGAATCCATCCCTCTGGAAGGTGTTTCAGTGGTTAGTATTTGTTTCCTTACCCTTATGGGGAGGGTGTCCTGTATCTGCTGTCTAGGAAAGAAAGGAGGTTATCACCTGTGCTTTAACATGACTGCTTATTTCCTTCTCAGGAGCAGTTTCAGGAGTGAAATTAGTGTCTGAGGCCTTTTGTAGAATGTCATGCTCCTGTGGGGAGGTTCTTTTTGCATGGTTCCTTGGAAGAAGGGGAGAAGAGCATGGAGAGAAAGATACGTGTGACACAAAACTGGGATGAGCATACCCACTGGGATGCGGAATAGTGATTGTGTGAGGGATTGAGCAGTAACTGCCTGCTGCACACATGCCCTGTCTGTTTAGAGTATATGAAATGCTAAAAAAGCTAAGGGCTGCCTGGGTCTTTTTGTTCCAGTCAGATTTATTTAAGGTACTTTTGCTGACTGAAGTCAGTACTCACTGAGAAAGAATCCTTGCGTTTGAATTTCATGATCTCTGAGTTCTAGGGCTCCTTTCTGGTTTTCAACATCTGCATCAGTGATACTGAGCTCTAGGTAGATGCCAAGCTAGATACCAACAGATTTGAGCTGGGGCTCAACCAGATTCAAGTTAATTGGGTAGAAGATTAAGCTGTTGCATTGCACAGTTGTCTAGTTTAAAACAAGTATTCAAGGACTGTATGGAATTGTAATGGAGTAAAAATACTGCTCAAATAAGTGCTTTCCCCTGCAAAGTGACAGAAGCCAGGAAGTTATCTGCTAATGATTGCATAAAACCTTTTCATCTAGCAAGCCACAGGAGACTTCAAAACATGTAATAGTGCATACTTTTTATCCTACTCCAATGAGATAATTAAACTAAGCAGGCAGAATTTAACATTGCCAAGTCCATAGGATCATAGAGTAGTTTGAGCTGGGAGGGACCTTAAAGCTAATCCAGTGCCACCCCCTGCCATGGGCAGGGACACCTCCCACTAGCCCAGGTTGCTCCAAGCCCTGCCCAGCCTGGCCTTGGACACTTCCAGGGATGAGGCAGCTACAACTTCTCTGGGCAACCTGTGCCAGGGCCTCCCCACCCTCACAGTAAGTTCTCAATGAACAAATTTCAGTCCATTGCTTTTAACTTTTCACTTTGTAATTTACATGTTGGAAGGATTCTCCCCTCCCCCCAGCCCTGCTTACTTTGTAGCTGATCGTTTTCTGAAGAATATTACTGTCTTGTCCACTTCAACAGCGTCTGAAAACCCGAGGGATGTCTGGAGGCAGTGGAATAGTGGATGTCTGGAGGCAGATGGGAAGTACTAGTTGAGCCTTTTGTTGTGATTCCTCTTTTGACCCTGTTCATAGCTTAGTTTGACTCTGGCCTAAATCAGTGAGGTCTGCAGTGGTGGAAGCAGGCTCGGTTTCTCTCCTGGCCCGGTCTCCTCAGCGGCGCTGATCTCCCCCAGGGGCAGGAGCTCAGGGTGTTGGCACGAAGAACAAGCTGCCTGTAGCTTTCAGCCACCGCAGAAGCACGGAGGCTCCATGGTTAGCGCTGCCTCCACTGCACTGAGAGTCAGGGTGGGGAGGAACAGGAGACCTTAAAGCAGCATCAGTAGGACCCTACAGAGGAGCGAAAGGGTGGTACAGCGGAGACTTGCGTCAATGCTTGCTTAAATTCAGAGTAAAGTCAGAATTATCTAGAATTGCTGAGCAGTGGTATCAGTACAGTACTTATCTGGGACTTGTTCAGCATGCTTCTGGTCTGTCTCATCTTCCGAGCTGAGAGGAGAAGGCAGGCTGGAAATCTCATCTAGCTGACATTTACAAGCACGTTACAGAGTTGTTTGAGGTTTACTTTTTTTTGATTTTTTTTTAAAACCTCTTTCTCCCTTTTCTACCATGGCTCACATTCTCCTCCTCTGCATTTTTGTCAGGCAAAAGGAGAAGATGAAAAGGGAAAATGGAGGAAAGGAAGTGCAGGAAAAGCTCCTGTTCCATGGAACCAACACCTCCTTCATGGAAGCCATCTGCACTCGGAACTTTGACTGGAGGATTTGTGGAAAAAATGGAAGTAACTATGGAATGGGTATGTAGGAAGTGACTTGGTGTGTTAGATGTCTACCCAGACTCCCCTGATAGTGGAACAATCAAGTCCTGAAGTCTTTAACTATAGAAGGTGGAAAAAAAAAGGTACGAATAGGTATTATGATCTTCCTTCTTCTGAAGAGGGCTGGGATTTGCTTTGTGTGGGGGCAAGTCTTCTCACAAGATGTCCAGACAACTGATGTAGGAGTTTGCTGTAGATGGGATCTTCTGATGCTTGAGGTCATAATTTGAACTTGCAAGAGAAATTAGTCTTTATGGCAGGGAGCAAGAAGGGTGTGCATTCCCTCACTGTGAGCATGGAAGGCCCTCATGTTTTCTTGTCTGTCCCTCTCATTGTAACACACAATACCTGTAGTGAGCTTATATTTATTGCTTTTTAAAAAATTACTCCTGAAATAGTGAATTCTGAATGGAAGTTATATGGTGAAATCCTTTCTCTTGCAAAAATTTTGGTGATATAATGTAACCTGAGTCAGAGGAGTCCTGAAAGTTAGGTCAGATACCTCCTGAAAACCAAGGGGATGCTCAGTTTTTGCTGTCTCTGTGTAGATACTCCTTAAAACTACATTTTCATCTTGTTTTCCAGGAAGTTACTTTGCTAGAGATGCTTCCTATTCCCATGCATACTGTCAGGCTGTGGAGAAAGGACACATGATGTTCGTGGCTCGTGTTTTGGTTGGAGACTACATTAAAGGGAATGCAGCCTATGTTCGCCCTCCAAGGAAGTCTGCGGACGGGCTTTGGTTTTATGACAGCTGTGTGGATGATGAGTTAAATCCTTCTGTTTTTGTTGTCTTTGAAAAACACCAGATTTACCCAGAGTACATAATAGAGTATAAAGAGGATGAAAAAAAATGTGTTATATCTTAGAGGGATCATGGCAGTTTGTATCCCTCATCTTGTTTTCCGTACTGCAGGTGTTCTCATACGTGGTGACTTCTTTCTTCTTAATACAGTTCTTTGGAATGTTAATCCAAACAAATTTTGCATTGAGGAGGGCTGGCAAAACAGATGTTACACTTGAGACTAACTGCCTTCTCTTCTCTTCTTCCTCTTTTAAATGAAGCAGACATTTGGATAACTGTAGCAGGAAAATCAGAATTGTGGGATGGGAAATTGAATGTTATGACTTCTGTGGGCAAATAATTATAAGTGCATTGTCTTAAAAACAGAGAGGATTTCTCTTTGTAAACTGTTAGAAGAAAAATTAACAGTACAGTAGTTTTTAAGGAAGCTTTCAGGTTTTTATAGAGATTCTTTTCAGTGCAGAATTCATCTGTTCTTGATCCTCTAATCTGTCATTACTGTAAACAGCTCAGTGTGGGTAAGAATGAAGAGTCTCTTTTCAAAATACTGCTTGTTAATGCTGATACGAGTTTCGAGTTCAAATGGTAAAAAAAGAAAAAGCCTATATTTAGGATATTAATCCACATCGTTCATTCCTGAGCGGAAAATTTTCATCTGTACAATGACAGATGGATCAGAAAGTTGTTGGATCAAATTCTTTGTGGAGATCTGCAGTAACTTGTTTTGACCTCTACAAAAAGAGAGCTGAACTGAAGCTGTGAAAGCCACAGCCTATGAGTAAGCAGACACTGAAACTGAGGGTTTGGCTGCAGCTAATGGCTGTAAGGGTACAAAGGCTGTGTCCCAACAAGCCAGGCTTTGCAGTGGATGTGGCCACGTAGTTTCTCAGCGCGAACATTTGCTCCGCGAATGTGATAGGACAGGAGAAACTTCTTAAGAAGCATCGAGATTTTCTGTCCTATTTGCGTTAATTTTCGTTTTTCCAGATGTAGGACACAACTGGAAGAGACCGGTTACGTTCTCTCAAGGCCAGTGGTAGAACTGCTGTCCTAAGACACTGTCCACATGTTTTGTTGCCCACGTTGCACCGGGCAACGCGCTGACAAGTGAGGTTCCTTTGTGTTTTGAGGTAGCTGTGGGTGATCCCACATACTGCTTCCCTGACTCTGCTTTGGAGAAACTCGCTTTCTCCACAATGTACAACCCTAACAATGATGTCTGAGCCCTTTTTTGCAGTTACCTGCTTTTTATTGTTCCCAAAACACCCCACCAGAAACTTGTGCAGAGTTTCCACTGCATTTTAATAAGGACTCTGTAAGCTGACGGAACTGAAGACCCTCTGTACAAAGATGTCTTATTCAGGCAGTCTAGCTGTTAAGAGGGAAACTGTTGGTGAGGACAGAGGAGCAGTAATTTTTACTTTCAGATAAGCTTTACAGTAACACCAATAGCCTTCCAGTTTTTTGCATCTGTGATATAAATCTGTCAGCCACTCAGAGATTGCAAGTTCCCAAGAGGATGGGAAAAGATAAACCCAGGAAATCTTATTAAAATGACTGTCTTAGAACTAAATGAAAACATGTGTCAGTAAAGCATTAAAAGGGGAAGATTTTGCCACTTTTTAAGATCTCTCTCGTTTGCCTGTAGAGTTCCTGAATCACTGACTTTGCTATATTTGCAAATAAAATGTGTTTTCAGTCAGTTTCTGCTTGTTAGTGTGCCGTTTGTCTCTATACCTAAACGTGGCAGAGAACCAGCTGCTGCCTGTGCTCTGTGTTTTCCTTCCACATGTCTAAACCAGAACTGCACAGATGTGGGTTGGCATTATAGTGCAGGTGCTTAGCTAAGTACAAAGGAGAGAACAGTCTTGATTCAGGGAGAATATTTCTGGAAATTAACTTCCTAACTAAGATACGTTTAATATTAATGTGGTGGGGTAATTTGCTTGGATTTCATGTAATTGAACAGCTGCTCTGAGCAGTCGTTGAAGTCCTAAAACAAGGGGAAATAATTAAGTGAAGTAGTATCAGAATTACTGGGTTTAATATCTTGAAGTAGCGAGATACTGACTCATTCTAAGGGTGTACTTTTTTAATATCTAGATGATTGACTTTAAAGGAATGTGAATGAGGCACCTCTCAGACACAGCGCTCCCCACACTCCTGTAAGCTACAAGGCAGGCCACTAGATGGAGGGTGCCAGTGAGATGCTGACAGCTTAAAATCAGTCCAAATCACAACATGTAGAAGAAGGACAAAGGAAGAAACAGGACTTGCAGTGCTGTTCACATTGTCAAAACTGCCCTGCTGCCAGGGGGTGCTTCTAGTCCCAGTGATGGAAGCGAAGTGGATGCACACTGTTACGGGTTTATGAAATTAAGCTGAATAACACATTTAAAACTTCACATATGTAAAGAAGTCATATACTTGCTTGCTCAATTAAATCCATCTTTGAGTTTATTGATGTAAAGCAGACAAAATTCTCAATTATGTTATATCAAAAGTACTTCAACTGTCATTCTTAAACTTGTGTAGCAATGGATCACATCAACTACACCCTGCAAACACAGCCAGAGATTCCTCTGGCTTTTGTTCCCTAATCAGATTTGTTATATTCATTGAGTAAAAAGGTCCTGTCTAAAGTCATTGCTTGAAATGCACTGATTAAAAATAAGAGTAAAAATCCAGTGTAATTTTAGTCCAGAGTGAGTCACCCTCAGCCATGGCTGGACAGACAAACCAGTGATGAAGCTGAAGAACGGTGTAGTCATATGTCACAAGACTACACAAAAGAATGCAACCGCTCACCTGGTTTCACAAATTATTATTGCTTTGAAAATAAGCAATTTCTGCCCCAGAGGAGGGCTGGGGGCAGGATGGCAGCAAGGCACTTCCACTTCTTGTTCCTGTATGCAGAAACTCCAGGGGCAGCGCAGGGCCAGCTATGGAAGTGCTTTTTTAGATCGAAAGGAAACAGTGTAGGAAGAGGCTTCTGTGGACCATGGGGAAGAGCCTGAGCCGGGCAGGATGGAAGGGAAGGCATCTGTGGCCAGGAGAGTTTGCAGATGTGGTAGCAAAGCCAGAGCTTGGGCAGTTGAAGAGTGTGGCATTTCTATTCAGGAAGAAGAGGCATTGGTTCAGTTTTGGTTCGAAATACCATCTTTCCCATCATCCCAGATTTCTGGAATACTATTGCAAGGCAATCTGTTAACTTGGTACACTGCAGGAATCCAGAAGCACCAGAACTTGATAGAGGCTCACATTGTGCCTCACTTGCAGCACCAGAGCTTATCAGATCACATGTGCTGGGACAGAGCTTTGCTCTCTTTCCATGGCAGAAGCTCCCTTTCAGTCTTCACCTGCTCGGAGTGAGCATGTGCTTTCACACTAGTTTTAAACACCACCTGGCTAACATGCAGGGACTTGTAATGAGATGATAGTGAGGCCTGACTTTCCAAAAGCTCAGAGAAGCACAAAGACCCCAGTCCAAAGTACCCTGCAGAGATGGTACTATTTCAGCTGAAGTCCAGGCTTCTCCTTTTCTTCTCAAAGATTTAAAAGTGCTAAGGGAGTACCTACGTTAGAATAGTCACTATTATCCCTCTTGTCTGTTTTCATCTACATAATTTTAGAAAGCTCTGCCATGCTATATTGAGAGGAAAAACCTAACATTTTATGAGAGGGAGTTTAAAAATGTGCACCTGGAAAGAGATCCTGAATGTAGACAGATCTGTAATGCCCAAGTCTGTGACTCATTCCTGAATAGACTAGAAACTTAATACGGAATTCATTTCAAGCCTGTATTGGCTCTGACCCCACACCTTCCTCTCAGCTTTGTTTAAGAGCTCCCTTTGAATTACCTGAGTAGTTATTAGTTACTTAACACATGAGCCAAGTAACAAACCGGGCCAGAGAATGACTGAAATCCAGGCACTGTTACTGCACTGTATACAATCAGGGTCAGAGGGAATGTTCAGGAAAATATACCAGAGAAGCAGTGCCCTTGGGATGCTTCAGAAAGCTGTGCATTATCAGCAGGTTTTCTTCTTTCTTTGTGGAATCATCTAAGATACAACCTCCTGAAACGCAACAGCTGCGTCCTTTTTTTTAAGAAAATTGTTTTGTCAGATCTCTGATCCCTGGGAACCTCCCCGAATTCCAGCACAGCACCCCTGCCCTCCCTGCACCCAGACTTTGTGGTAAGCACGTTGCTCTCTCACCTGAAGCACGGAGGAAAGCCTTATGCCATGGAATGGATAGCTGCCGCCTTCCTGATAAGTCGCTCTGTCATTGGTGAATTGGGTCTCACCACATCACGTTCTCTCAGGAGGCACCTGAGAAAGGAGAGAAACAGGACATTCATGAGCACAGCATCAGTTTTCCTGTAAGATCACCAGCAGTGTCCTTGTAAGAGGAAATCAGTCCATAAAGACCTGTACTTGAGGCACAGATTTTCCTTACTGGACACACTGGACCTGGGCAGGAATCCCTTTTAGACAGAACAGCGTTGTTTTCAGCACTGACAGACTGAAAACGAGCACCCAGAGCTCAGAGGGCACAGAAGCATCATTTTGCTATTGTACCCAATTGCAATGCTTCAGAGAGACCTCAGGAGGGGAAGAGGCAAGGCTTCCTACTGTCCCAAGGATCCATTCCCGAGTGCCCAGGCAGAGCCATGCACTGTGTGTCAGCAGAACTCAGTGTGGGGGATAAACCACACGGACCGTTCTACCAAGCAGGGCTCCTGTGACCTGCACTGAGCAGAGCACAGCTGGACGTGCCAGAGCACACCTCGTCTGTCCCAGTGCAGATGGCAGCAGCAGGACAGACTGCAGTTGCAGCAGTTCACACAAGTTTAGCAGTCCATAATCTACACTCATGAACAGGTTAAGATAGAACAATTTGAAAATCAACTACCCTTGACCAAATACAGATTATTAATCCAGGTTGCAAGAGTGTACTTTTGGAATTGGAAGCTATTGTACTTTTTATCCTGGTTATATGCTTCTACATTTCACATAAATGGCTGCATATAATTCTAGCTTTAAATTTATTGATTTGAGTATACTCATTACTTTTTACTTTTAGTAACACTACTTCCACAAATATTTTTCAGGGAAAACACTCACCTTGCAAGGTTTCGTTTGGCCTGTGATTTAGAATTTAAAGCAGCATGAATCAATAACTGGCTGAAAACATCTCTCTGAAAAAAAGAGTCAGCAAAATACAAAGTAATAAGTAATTTATAATGTATTGCCGGTTACAATGTCTTGTTCACCAAATTATTAAATCCACAGAGAGGAAACATATCAACATTAAATTAAATAGCTAACCCTGCTAGTAAGTGTATGCAAACAGGATTTAGTCACAAGCACAGTTCAGCTTTCACTTTCTAAGAATGAAATGTTGTTGATTAGGTAAGTGCCTAATGGAGGCTCCTGAAAGGGGATTAAATGATATGAAACAGTCTTTTCTTGTCTCCTTTACCTGGGCATTACTGCCTCCCAGTTGGATTAGTTGATAACGGATTGGGTACAGCAGGTCTACAGCTTTGTCACAATTTCCATTTTCGAACTCCACAAAAGCCTGGCACAGTGGCAACCCCAAACTAGGAGCCAGGGAAAGCTGGTGGTCTTCACAAGGTGCTCTGTAGAATGAAAGAGTGGGTAACTTCCATAAGTCAAAGCATAAATATGTGGTATTTCAGTGCCAGTCTGTCACTGCCTGCAGACAGATTTTTCTTCTTTTTTAACTGTACAAAGCCTGATGTTTCAGGTCCTTAACTTAGATCATATCCTTTGGTGTGGTTATGTTACTTCCACATTCTTGTTACTCATCCATCAATCAGTTTTCATTCTCCTGAATGGCACGAGCCCAACCCCTCCTATTTTTGCAATAAGCAGTTTTGCCTAAAAAAATAAGAAAACTGCAGTTTCTCTTCTGCTGACCTCACCAGAACATGACTGCTTTTTTAACACAGACAAAATACATCTGGGGTATCATTTATATATTCTAAATTTGTGAGAGATGTAAATTAATCCAGTCATTAATATAACCCCTTCATCTCACTGCCTGTTTTCTCGAATAATGAAATTAAGCTTTATAACAGCTAAAAACATACATCTGTATTATTACAAAAGGTGGAACATGTAGGCAAAAGGAAGCACTGGGTGAAAGGATAAGTAGCATATATGAACACCTATGTTCATTAAAGCTTCCCTGATATGCAGTTTTCTACACTTTATATATACTGACATATAAACTTATATAAAAGATATTTGCCATTTCCTACTTTAGTCAAATCAGACACATTTAGCCTTGCTTTGACAGTTATTTGTTTTTGTAAGTATTCTTATAAATTACAGTGTTCTTAAAAATTACATATAGTCAGGAACAAATAGTGCCAATTTCAGGATCTCCTTCCTTCTTTTTAGAGAGGAAGGAATAGATGCCGAAACAAAAGGGAAAAAAAGGGTGGAGGGGGAAAGAAATTGCATTTAAAGCATCTGTAAATCAACCCCTTAAAAAATCATGGCAATTTACAGTCATTTAATACATAAGGGAACAAAATCCCCCCATTGTTAAGATGTAATACTCAATTTTTTCAAATTGAGTATTAAATACTCAATTTTTTCAAATAGTTTAATTTGAAATCAAAATATTGTAGATTATTACTTTAGTAGTACTTGAAATTTAATTTCCTGCAGATGTACTTCACATCAAACAGTAGCCATTAGAATATCACTACCAGCTAATGTTCTGCTATGAAGTACCTTTTAAACCAGAGCACGAAAGAACCACCACACACCACTGACTTATATTGTAGTGACCTCACTAATAATATACTTTATTCCTTGTATGTGTGATCCCACTGAAAGGAAATAAACAACAACTGTTCAGTTGGTGTCCACGACCTCAAACATGAAAGATTTCTGCTTAACAAGCTGAGAAACCCCTGTAGACATTGACTCCAAAAATCAATAAGGATCTCCTAACTGGAGGTTGGCCTGCTTAAACCAGATGTGTCCCAGCGACGTGCTAAAGCAGGGGAGAGCACGTTGTAGTGCTTCAGCAAGCCAGAAACATCACCACCCTCCAGCTCAGAGGGCAAACTGTTTATGGAATCCAACACTATAACTCCTTTGCTTACTTGGCAAGTTCCTGAAGAGTTGTTAAAAGCTCCTGGGTAGTTTTGTGGTCCTTGGCTCCAAGTGAAGACATCAAGAAGTGCACATCATTGAACAGAAGAATGTGATCTTCGGTGTGCTTCTTCGTGAGCGCGAGAACATCCTTCCACCTGTCTCCAAGCTTTACACCTAAGAGCAAAAAATACTTGTCTCAATAAAAATGCCACACGCAGAAGTATGACTTTGCAATGCACTTTCAGTCACTAAGTATAAAAAGCATTCCTACAGAACTCAAGGAAACACACCCTGATGTGGCAAAATGTGTGCAGCAATGCTCAGCTGCAGCTGTGTTTGGGAGGAGAGTTTATTGACTGTCAGGAGCTTAAAGCCAATATTTTAGATTGCATTATGTGAGCTTCTGACTTTATTATGAGAGTGCTCATAATGTCTTCTTGGAAGTGATGCTCACCATGAGCCATCTGCAGCAACCAAAAGACAGTGTGTTAAGATGGATTTAATAAAAAAAACAATGCATCTTAGTGTTTTAGCAGAACAGTGTGAAAATGACGTCTGCCCATCGTGGCCCCCACCCTGAACTCTAATGTATAAACGCTAGCTTAAAAAGTTAAGGGGAAATGGTACTGAGTTAGGAGAGTACACAAAGCCAAAAGCTAGTATGCACACACTAGCTATTTCAATCGGGATCAAAAAAGAAAGGCAAGGATCCAACTGGAAATTTACTTCAAGGAAGCGCTACAGCTTTTTAGAGGCTTATGCACCTGATTGCTCAGCCTCAGATCTCCAGGGACAATAGAAGTGAATTTCTCAAAGAAGACTTATGTGACCTATGCTAGCTTGAGCTGACTGCAATACCATACTGGCATGGGAAATGGAAGCTCTTAGGAAGAACAAAGCTTATGGACATTTTTAGGAACTTTACATTGATGCTTTTCTCAAGAGCAGAATTTTCTTCTGAAACACTCATGAAGCTTGCTTTGTAATTACATTTAAATACTTCCTCAACATGCAAGGCAGGGGGAGGGGGAAGAGAGAAAGAAAACTGCCTTACAGTTGTAAAAAAGAATGGCCAGGGGATATCCCACCTTCCAGATGGAGCCGGTACAGCATGGAACAGTTATCGACCACATCCAGCATGCTTCCACTCGCCAGGCACCGCGGAGCAATCTGCAATCACAGGGGCGCACGAGCTGGCCAACTGATGTGCTACTGCAAACTTACTCATATTAGCAAACTTTTTTTCACAGTACAAGTTTTATTTTATCCTTCTATTAATTCATAATTACCTGTTTTGTAATAGTCCTAATTGCATTTTTCCTGAATATACAGGAATTTGCAATGTTAAACATTCTTATTGCTTTACATGTTTTTCTCAGTAAATATGGAGAGTCATCAAGGTATTTTATTTTTTCCAAAACTGTGCCACAAATATTACTTCACTTTGTCAAGGTTAGTTGATACAAATCCACCCAGCAGCTTTCTTAATGCTTGTAGTATTTTCACAATCCACACAATGTGTTATCTAATTTGATACTGCTTATTTACAGAGACTGTTTTGAAATCCAGGCAGTGGACTTAGTACCTAACATGCAAAACCAGTTTTTTGTTATTTGACTTTATAAGAAAATTATTTTACACCCTTTTAAAAAGCACAAATAAGAAACATGGACAGAATGGAAACCAGTACCACTGTAGCTCTTTCAAATACTCAAACTATGTAACACACGAGTCCTTGGGGCATTTCACCCAAAACTGTTGAGAAACTGTTTCCCTAAAAAGCTGTAATGACACTGTGATAGGTTTCAATCTCACAGAGAAGGAAGAAAGCAGGAATCGTAACCTTAAGCACATTCTCAGTAAAGAAAAAGGCCCCTACTCACATGATTGTCATAAATTGTCAAAGCAGCTTCATATTCACCCTGGAAAAGCAAACGAGAACTGCATGGTTAACGTGACATGATCAAAACAAACCAAGTCAAAGAAACCTTGAGGTACTGAAAACAGGAATGGAGTCTAAGCAAAACCTGCATTTACAGGGCAAAATGATCAGTATGTTGAGGGTTTGTTTAAAAATAGGTTCCAATACTGCTACAAGTTATTCATGAAGGAGAAAAAAACAGGTATTGCTTCTCATTCTAATGTTCCTTTCAGGGATTTTTGCAAAAATTAGTGCATCCCACAGTGTGGGATGGAAAGCAAAGATGTGGGAGGAAAAACAAATTTAAGCTGCCTTCAAAGAACTTGTGTAGATAGAAGGTGGCAAAATAAACAAACTACTCCTGAGAATTATGCTTCTTCTATGCTATTACCACTCAACACAAGCCAGTTACTTTGCCCTCTGGGGAAGGTACACTGCCTTCTCAAACATGCCACATTTGTCTCCCTATGGAGCTGAACCCCACAAGTGCTAAGCATTAAATTCAAGGAAATTCTGCATTGCAACCTGACAGGTTGGGTAAAATTGCAACCATTTGTGAAGGGTTTCAATAATAAGAATTAGTAACATTAATAACATTGGCAACCCAATTTAGAGCTTACTGCCTCATCTTTATAGTCAGCAAAAATTTGGGCCAGATAATTAGTATCCAATTTGGTAAGACTTTTGTTATTTTTTGTCTGAAACTTAGAGATCCAAGTTCATCTTTCTATCAAATAACTGTTCTAAATGTAATTAAGTGAGACTATTTGATCTTCAAATGTGCAGTAATTTCACAATAATATTTTAACATTCTAACAAAGATCCTGGAACTTTGACCAATGCAATTAAAACTTTTCAAAATATTTGTAATAAAGGACTAACTTTAGTTAGTGTGGCATTGTGCTGATTTATAAAAACAACCCTTTTAAATAGCTGAACCCCCCTGGAAATGTTAGGTCTGCCTTTTAAACAGCATTAGATGATCTATCTGGACCATAAAACACCTGTATGAAAATATCTGATACCTTTTCAATGAAGTATAAAGCCCAGTGCCAGTAATTGTGGCAAGCAAGCATATCACTGTTCTGCAAAAAAAAAAAAAGAAAAGAAAAAAAAAAGAAATTATTTACAAAATAACTTCCGTTTTAAATTTATGTAGTCAGATTTTTGTTTCCTTCTTCAGCAAAACTGAGTATTTACTGAGAGACAAAAGAGACAATCAACTGGCCAGGGTACATTTGTCCTTGCAGCTATTCAGGGAGACAACTCAAACCCAAGGCTTCCCCCACATCATTTTCACTCAGATGCCTCAGAATTCACCCTTCCACAGCACGTTTTTTTTCTTTATAACAAGAGTACGATTTGTCTCATCTAAAATTTAGGCATCTTGTCTGAAGTAACCTGGACAGACAGTGGAGAGAGGAGGATATGTAGGCCTTACGAGGGCCATTCATTCCTAGACACAGAGGATTCACTTCTTAAACATGGGGTTACCTGACTAAATAAAGCAAAACCTTTTTACTGCTCCTAATTTTGAGTTCCGAATAAGATTAAACTGCTAATAAGAAGTGGTCTTGTAGGTAACTGAAATAAATCAATACAAGCAGGCTTTGGAATCTTACCACAACAGCTCAGGAGAAAAACAATTGCCATTTTATAATACACAGCACTGGCAGAGAGGTCTCCTCTGGTAAGATAATTTGATTTTGTACTGAAATATAACTTTAAAAACCATGGCATCTGTTGGGATTTTTTTTGCGGGGGGGGGGACTGGAGAAACAAACAAAGTAAAGTAAAGAAAACCTGTACAAAACCTTTACTGGGAAGTAGAATGATGAATTAAAAGCAGCAGAAGAAGCACAAACACTGTGGCAGTACGGACAGCTGATCCTGGTCATTATAAGAAAATAAATAAACATTTCAAATTACCAGGCCAAATATAAGCAACTTTAATAAAGTACTTAGACAGACCTGCTTATTTTCATGCATTTATAATGTTCGGTGTCCGTGATGCTTAAGATGAGAGAGGCTGTACAAGAGAAGCAATGATGCACATTATGACATGACAGTGCCAGCTCTTACAAATCTTAATTGCACTGGGTCAGGCATGAAGGTACATTAGCCAGTTCTACTTACTGATCTTGCACTTGATTTTATTTGGATAAAGAGTATAAGTCACAGAGATGTGCAACTATTTGAAGCAGCAAGAGTTCAAAAATCAATCCAAAAGTCCCTGGGGTTTTTAAGGTATCATCCGAACTGTCAATCCCCTGCATCACTGTTTCATTAAAACTAACATATTAAAGGACAAAATGCTTCCTGGGAAATGACAGATGTGAACTTCAAGCGAGGGTTTTCTGCCTGCACTTCCAATGCTTAACTTAAAAAAACCCAAGTCTTTCTAGTCTCATTATCCAGCCCTGTTCTTTGGGTGAGGTGGAACGGTCAGTTCAGGTGACTCTAAGATAGACTCTCGTGAGTTCTAACAATTCCAAACCTCACAGCCTTCTGCTCTGAATATAACAAACTTAATCACTGGGAAAACACACGCTGTCCAACACAAAACTTAAGTTTCATTTGCAGCAAAGGACTGTATTGCAGACTAATTAACCTCCTCAATACTCTGAAAGATGGGATCGAACATGTTGGATATATAAGGTAACCAGTACACAAGAAAGCAATTAGTACACTAGAAAAGAGACAAAAGCACCATTTCTCTTTACAGTTGATCTCTAAAAACACTTCCCCATCCAAAAGTAAACAAGTATTTTAGGAATCTTCTGAAACATTTGCCTGTGTCATTTCCCACCTCATCCTAGGTCTCATGAGGAGATTTAGTCAGGTCCCTCAACTGACTCTCGGTGCTCATCTCAGTCTAAGCAAGAAGCTTGTGAAAGTATCAGTGATCACTTTACTTTTATAACCACACCATGAATCACACACATAAATCACAAGTTTCACATCTGATGTTTCACCTGTCTGCCATGGCCATGCCTCTATGAGATGTAAAATATCTGCACAGGTCCACCAGGAAAAAGAAACAACATGTGCGTGTACAAACCCCACACTTACTGAAAAGCAGTACTTTTTAGGCTATTCCTAGCTAAAGGAAGGCAGAGCTCAGACAGACTCGGTATGAATCCTGGCCTACTGACACATTTGCCACTTTTGTAATCTCAGCAGCCATACTAATGATGACTTACAGTGGCCCACAGTATGTGTTCCTCATAACATGCCATTTTTGCCTGCCCCTTGCTTAAAAAGCTGCATGGATAATAACAACACCTCAAGTGAGGATTTCTTCTAATATGCAAACTCTGCATTGCTTGTAACACATTTGCAGATAGGAAGGAATTGCATGCAGAGGACTCAAGAACTTGGCTACAAGAGTTAAAGAAGACCTAGAAGGAGCTTTTTTAGAGATGCCACAAGAATGTTTACCTTCCAGTTGGTTTCTGTTTCCTTCATAAATTCTAAGCCTTTCTTCACATCTGCTTTCATTTCATTTACATGAGCTATAGTATGGACAGACCATGCATCTGTCTGATTTACAGCCAAAGCCTATGAGTGAAAAACAGGAAAACATGATCAACCTTACAAACACGAACATTTATAACTGCTGATCTACAAACAAGAGACTACTTTTTACTTTCTGCATGTCAAGTACATCCCTGTACCACTCCAACTAACCACAGCCTGGAAGTCTGAGTATTCAGCCAATTCCTCCTCCTTGCTCCAACAACTCCCACTAGGCTCTAGGCATTTTGCAAGGTTAGTCATAAACCTAGTAAATGTTAAGTGTTAGTTGTCACTTCCAGCAATTAGATGGAAGTTTGTCAAAAACACCCATTAGGGATTAATTGCATCTGAGACTCCTGTAGGACAGAGCTAATCCCGTGGACTGGAGAAGGTCAAGTATAATTACTATCTTCATAAAAGGAAACAGGCTGGCTAATACTGATGCCCAGGACCACTGTACAGTTAATTGTTCAATAATTCAGGAACAAGCATCTGGGACAAAAAGGGAGGGGGAGCCCAAACAGGATGGATTGTCAAGAGCAGACTACATTGAGGCAATCCAGCATTCTTTAATAGGAGCAAACAGCCAGTCTTACACAGGGGAAATGGCAGATGGGCTGATAGATGGATTTCATAGGGGTGTTCTGACCCCATCTGACATGGCATGCTCATAACCAACTGAGGGAAATACAGTCCAGCTGCAACTGCCATCGTGTGGCAGAAACGTGAGAACAGTTACCAGCAAGTCTCATGAAGCTCTGTGAGCATTTCCATGTTGAGCTTTATCTCCTTGCTGCTTCAACTAACAACTGGGATGACAGAGAGAGTCAGTTCATGGCATTGGCACAAACCACCACCCAGCGAGAGGGACCATGTTTGAGAATTCTAAAACCTTTTAGCACCAAGAGCAGGCAGTTTACCTCACGGGCAACCTCCTCAGCACGGTCAAAAAAGTTTGTTTCCACGAGTCCAAAAGAGTAGTAGCCTTTCACATAGCTAACAAAAGGGGGGAAAACAGCACATCATGCATTTATAACTAGATTTAATCCAGGACTGAAAAGACATACTAGAAACAGCATTTGACCCAAAACAGTCCTTACAGTGCAAAGTTACAATGAGAGTTCAAGCTTGCAGGATACAGAACTGCTAAGCTAGTTCTCAGAGGAAATGAGTGGCCCAGAGACACCAGCATGGGAAACAGTAACAAGATGCACATCAGAACAGACATTTCCATTTTTGGATGAGATGGAACCAAGAGCTGCACAGAACAAGCTGCTCATCTCCATAACAGCTGCAAGATGCTGAATTAGAAAGCTGGAAGCGAGACAGTGCTGTCACCAAAGTTATCTGAGCATCTCAAAGGCAACCTTCTCCACTTTTTCCAGTGCCCACAAAATCATACACAGAAAATATATATAATAAAATAATAGAAGTACAGGAGAGTACTTTTATGTGAAGTGGCCCTTTAAAACTGGTTATAAATCATCCCCATTAAGCCATAAAGGCCCAATGTAAAGGAAAATCAGGGGTGTTATATGCTCTTACACATATGCCTGATACAGTCATTTTAAGAAATATTGAAGTGCTACTCTACATGCAGATTTCTGGATGGCAAAACACCCCAAGGTAAGTTTCTGCTTCTCAAAATATGTGTTGGGGTATTGGAGGGATTACTAAAAAGTGTGGGGTATGTTGCACCTGATCATGCATCAAGATAAATACTGATTTTTTTTCATCAATGTTCAATTCATCAATTCACCTGTAATTCAACTCTCCATGCCTGTAAGTTTCAGGGCAAGGTGTAGTTGCCAGGTTTTTTTACTTTAGAAATGCTTGGCATATGATTGTTCTCTGTTGCTTTACAATTAAGTGGACAACAGCCTAAACTTTTGTAGCATCGTGTCTAGAAAATTCTTAAATGAAACCAGTATATTGTAGCTGAAAAGAACTAAGTTTTAGATTTCTCTGAGTTGAGGTAACACAGCTGGAAAAATGATACTCCTGACACTAGATCCTGAGCCATAAGGGCACCTCACTGCTACATCAGCATCCAGTCTGTACTCTCTGCACTGTTCCTGGAAGAAATAAGGAGCCCAGCTTGTGCTGGATATGGAGGGAAAGCACACTCGTACACAGCAACATGCAAAAATATTCAGAAAGTGTGTGGATTATCTATTCAGCTGTCTCTAAATGTTAAATGTATGTCTTAACTTACAATGTAACACTAACTTTTACATAACATTAAAATCTTTCAAATAATAAAACTGGTCTTAAAAAGATAATTTAAAAAATTATGCCAAATTAGCTTTTATTAACTTTTCACTTGCCAACAGATTCAGATTATCCTGAACTAACTTTTGGAAACTGAAACTTTCAGGACTGAACTACAGAAATTTTTAAAACTGGCCTTCCTGTCAGTCTTGGCTGTAACAGCTGGTGTTGTATATTTCCAAATTTTGTTTCAGAACCGCACTTTGGTATTCTAAGTTTCAACTCCTTTCTTCTTTCCACTGATGTGCTCTATGACTCACAATGTGAGCCCCAGGTAAAAAAGTGGATCCATGAAGCCTGAGGAAGTTTTGCCACTGCCCTGAGCGAGGATGCAGTTTCATCCTGTGCGTTCCATGCCACGTGCTGTATTTGACAGCAGTGAGACACAAGCTCCCTTAAGAAAAATCCCTCAACAACAGTGTCAAGAGGGACACTGGAGACACGTTCTGTCTGCGGTCGAGCTTGATTCACTTCTAAGCCCTTGTCTACATGTCTGATTCCAACAGATCCTGTTACTTAGGTGTGTCTGAATTAAAAACCACAAAGTATGTGCACACCAGGTGAAGCGCAATTTTCAAAATTAAGCATGACCCACCTGCTCAGTGGAACATCAGGTGTCCAGAAAGGATAAACCCGGGCAACAGAATCTCGCATCTGTACCTGATATCCCAGGTAGAAATAAGTGTCGTGGGAAAATTTGAGGGCTAGCAGGTCAGTTGGGTGTCTCTGCAGAATCTGTTCCCACAGATCACAAGCTTCTGGAAGCTGGCTAGAAATAAAAAATTATTTCCATTGCCAAAAGAAGGCACACACACCTGCTGCTACTGTTAGTTCTGAGCTCGCACTATGCTGAAAAATAGAAAATTCAACACCAAATGACTTGTTTTTTCCTTGAAGGAATTTTTAGTCTTTTTTTAAAGTAATAATGGCATTATCTTTGCTTCACACCTTCTGAGGAATCTTTTGAAAGAAATGTCCTTGGGTTACACCAAGTCACTGTAACACACAAGGAAAATGAAAGAAGATTAAACCATAAACCTGAAGATTTTCCTACAGGGCTGAACAGTTTTTACAGACATCTATCATAATTAATCTAACTTCATATGTGCAAAGACAGCTTCCCTCTCTTCTAGTGGGAATCAAACCCATAGTGACAGGGCTTCAAGAGCTTCCTCTTTACCTCTGCTGAGAAGTATGTGAGATAAATCCATGCTCATCCATTTGTTTGGCAAACAATGAATGGAAGTGAATCAGCCCACACTTTCTGCAGTGCACACAGATTTATCATATGGAATGAAACCATGAGCTTCTACAGCACTTGTGCTACTCTGGTATCTCCATGTTTTACAGAGGAAATAGGTTTTGACACAGGAAGACAACAGAGAGAAGAAAAGTCTGTTTGTAACTTTTCCTCCTGTGCACCTGAGTCTGAACCCTATTGTAGCCAAATACTTTGTTTCCTAGTTCTAAACCACATACTCCACTGATGGATCTGTGACAGGTTTAAAACATGGAGTGCTTACTGCTAGGAAATGGTGGCAATAGAGCACTTTACTCCTACAGTGTAGTGTTGCTCACTGACTCGACAGGGCACTTAGAGCCAAGAGAGAAAAGCAGGAACCACCTGTGACATCTCACTCCGATCCTTTGCTAGATGTCAGCCAGTATCACACACCTCCCGCTTCCAACCACCGCTTCTGCCTGTGGTAGCAAAAACCCATCAGTCCCTTGCACAGGGTGACAGTGGACTCACCCCCTGGCAAACATGTCCAGCGCTGACACGTGAAGCTTCTCCCGCTCAGTCAGTGGCTGGGACTCGGAAAGTGCCACCATCGTTCTCATGGCACGGTCCAGCTCTTTGTCGAGTCGCACGGAGCTTCCAGTGCCAACCAGCTCCAGACCATTAGCGATGACATGGCCCATTGCTACAGAAAACAGCACAGCAGAAGCCGAGCTCTACAGCATCACCTTCAGCTCCACATTACACAAGAGGAGCTGAGAATTTTAAGCAAGACTGACTTGGGGTCAGAAATCCAGAAAGTCTCCCAAGCCTAAAGTTCTTAGAGGCTTTTCATGAAAAAAACCCTCACAAAACCATCCTGCCTGCTCCAGATTCTGAGGAAGCTTCACATTACAGAATTCTACAAGCCATCACCTTGCCCTTGCACAAACAAAGTCAGTTAACTACCAGGACACCAGGTATTTCCTATCACTTCTCATGCTCAGAATTAAAGGTTATACTCACTAAAATTTGGATCCGCTGCTTTTAACTTGGAGAGGCATCCCTCAATACCTCCAAGGCTCTCATTATTGGTCCAGGTTGCATACTGTAAGAGAGACAGACCAAGAGAGGTCTGAGGGTTGAGAAATATTCTATGACACTGGGCTTCTTTTCTTCCTCCCAGACATTTAAAATTCAAAAATACGCAAGGCAAATGACTAAAAGACAAACATTGCATTCAGATAGGTTTAGCGTAGTAGGAAAACAGAAAAACTGGAGGGTTTTAAGACAGTTTGGCCACTAGCAGGACCAATGACCCTGGATTTCTGTGTGCTTTTATGTCAACTGGATGATTTAGCAGTGTCAAGTGGCATGAGCACGTTGGCTGAGGCTTTCACCACAGCATCTGGCACAGCCCTCTGCTACGAGGGTTTCCTGATGCCACCTAAAAGTTGGACTCCTGTGGTGGCCTGACTTTGAGGCTCTCCCAGCTGACAAGAGATTTAAATGTCAGCTACAGCAAAGGCTGTTCCATGCTCGAGTCCCTGCGCATCACATTTTCTCTCACCTGTCAGTCATTCATACCTGTGTCAGCGCAGCATCGAAGAGCTTACAGGCTTCATTGCTCGTCGTGGACAGGACAAGTCCAGCATCCCGCCAGGCCTGCACAACAAACAAACACAAACCTGCTCATTTTACACCCTCGTGTTCCAGGCTACACTGACAGATGTTCAAAGCGATGGGTGTTTTGATGTTTTCATCAACTATGCTGTTTTAAAGAGAAAAGTTGGAAGGACAGCGTGAGCAGACACAAACCTTTTGTTCCGTTGCAGTTACATCCCAAGACTCAATTAGTTGGAGCTAGTAGTGAGACTAAGGAAGCAAACAATTATGAAGTGTAATAGAAGATCTTGGTGGGTTACACATCTCATGAGAGAGCCATTCTGACTTCATTACAGCTGTTGACCAGTCCCTCTGCTGCAGGCACACCTCGTGAGAAGTAGAGACGTGGTAAAATAAAACTCTGTTCTTTTATAATGGAAATCAATACCTTAAGTAACTTGCAGGCCAAACAGCCTGGCAGAGCAGATCCACCAAGTCACACGAGTTAACCAGCAGAAAATTTGGACCACAGATTTCTATGCAAGCCTTACAGAAGTAAGAACACGGGCAACAGATAGAGCTAAAAAACTAAACAGAATTGGGCTGCCACAGTTTCTAATAAGCTAACGTGACTGAGGCACAGCATCTTCTGGCTTTACTTTTACTCCAGTACACAGAATGTAGAGGATAGACACACATCAGAAAAACAGACCTGGGGCAAGCCAATTCAGACTTCTCCTAATGGGGGCTTAGTTCTTCCTGATGCTGCAAGAATTCAGCTGGTCTCATTTTACACTTTAATGTATTTCCTGGCTATAATGACCCAACTGTCAAAAATTGCTAGTAACCTGGCAAGGACATCTTTGTTAATATATCCTAAAGCTTTCCCTCTGTGATTGGATTAAAGGCTCACATTCCAGCAGCTGGAGCACATGAGGCTTCGAATTACAAGCCTGAAAGAGTAGACCTGAATATAAAATTACAAATTTTCTTTACAATTCACACTATATCCAGAAAAGGAGTAAAGCGAAAAGTCGAGCAGGTAGCAAGGTTAGGCTTGCTACTTACAGGCTACCTTCCATGGTGCCCTGCAAAGTAGGCCAGGAGCCACCCTCAGCACCAGTCATCAAAAACAAGCTCCATTTGGAGCAGGCTGTGTGCCACTGCCCATTTTACACAACAGCTTGAGATCCCTGCCCAACAGAAAATGGTGTCCTGTTCCAAAAAGATTTGTTAATGCTGATTCAGAGAAATGGAAATGTCTGTGAGCATCAGAACAAACCAGCAGAACAAGGGTTAGTGCAAAATGGGCCTGCATCCATCCCTAAGGACACTGCTGATCTAGCTGAGGTACGTGCTATTTCCAACCGCTCTAGAGAGCCTCTGTCCTGCTACGGCTACACCCTGCACATCTCACTCCTCCAGGGAAGACTCACACTCTAGCAACAGGACGATGGCAGCAAGGCTGCGTCACAAGGGATGCCACTCCTCTCCCTGTTAGCACACCAGGACAATGGGCTGCAATGAAGAATCACCTCACAGCAGCTGCTGGCTCCTAAGAGACATAAAAGATGTGCTACAAACCTAATCTGTCACTGTCAACCGAGAACCAGCTATTGCGACTAGAGAGGAGCCAACACACCCTCTCCTCTGGGTCGTACACAACGGGTCCTGCCCAGACTACTTGGGACAGTCATGTCCTGGGGCTTGTCTGCACTCAGGTATCAAACTGTGACTGAAGAAATCCTGAGGGGAGCGTGAGTAGATAAAAATCAGCCTCAAGAATCTATAAAGCAATTACCAGCTGTACTTCCCACAGAGCCTGCCTTTGACTTCTGTCACACTGATCTACTAACTCCAGAAGAGACCCTTCTTGATGATGCCTCTTGGATGAGAGAGCCGTGGCCTTGGCTCTTCTCACTGCTTCTTGGCAAGACCAAAGCCTTGCCCTTTCCCTGCTCTAAGATTAGATTTCTGTCACGAGATTTAGTGACCATTTATTTGTATGTTTTTCCCTGCTAGAATCACAGCTGGCTCTGAGAATTGTGCTCTTTGCATTGGCACCTCTTGTATTCCTTGCGGGGCAGATCCCCAGGGCTCTGGCGATCACGCACCCATCACAGTCTCATGCAATAGTCAAGACTTCTTACTTCACCCGCCCCTGCCTAATTAACCAAAACACAACAATAACAGTTCATCCGGAAGAAAGTGCGCAAACGACTAATCAGTAACCAGCGCCTGCAGGTCGACATCGGACCCTTGGACTTGAGGCTGGTTTAAAGTTAAGCGAAGGCCTGACCCACTTCTGCTGCCCACGGAAAGAGCAGGAGGGTGCCGCGGGACCCCTGCCCGTAAACACCACCCAGAGACGTTCAGACGCGGCTGCACCCGGCGGAAGGGACGGTGGGCGGGACGGCTCAGCGTCCGCAGCGCTGCCCCTCAGCGCTGCCCTCACCCCACAAGCCCCGCAGTCCCCCAGCGCTGCCCTCACCCCAAAGCCCCGCAGTCCCTCATTTCCTCAGCGCTGCCCTCACCCCGCAGTCCCTCATTTCCCCAGCGCTGCCCTCACTCCACAGCCCCTCAGTCCCCCAGCGCTGCCCTCACCCCGCAGTCCCTCATTTCCTCAGCGCTGCCCTCCCCCCACAGCCCCTCAGCGCTGCCCTCACCCCGCAGTCCCCAATTTCCTCGGCGCTGCCCTCAGCCCACAGCCTCTCATTTCCTCAGCGCTGCCTGCACCCCGTAGTCCCTCACCCCGCAGTCCCTCACCGCGCAGCGCTGTCCTCATCCCGCAGTCCCTCATTTCCCCAGCGCTGCCCTCACCCCGCAGTCCCTCACCCCGCAGCGCTGCCCGCAGCCCGCAGTCCCTCACCCCGCAGCGCTGCCCGCACCCCGCAGTCCCTCATTTCCCCAGCGCTGCCCTCACCGCGCAGTCCCTCACCGCGCAGCGCTGCCCTCAGCCCGCAGTCCCTCAGCCCGCAGTCCCTCAGCCCGCAGTCCCTCACCTCGCAGTCCCTCAGCGCCGCCATGGTCTCCGCGCAGCCCCGCGGTCCCTCGCGCTGGGGCCGGGCCCGCCGGGGGCGGGGCCTCGCGCGGGCGGCGAACGTGGACGGTTGGCGCGCGCGGAGCCCTCGCGCCGACGCTGAGGGAGCTCGTGGCCATCACTGGCCCAAAGTCCTCGTTCATTGCTCCGGACCCTCCTCCGGCCCGCGGTGTCCGACCTTATATACCGTTCTCACCGGCTGCGCCCCGGAGGACGCTCCGGTCCTCTCGGGCCCCCGGTCCGGCTGTTGGGCAGCGCCCGTGAGGCCGCGCTCCCCGCGCCCCGTCCCCTCTCACCGCGATGGCCGCGCACCTCCTGTTGCTCCTGCAGCTGCTCGCCTGCTGCCCCCGGGGCTCGGGGGCGTCCAGTCCCCGTCTCCAGCCATCCCCCCTGCGGGTCAGCTGCCCGGGCCCTCACGGCCGAGTCTCCCAGCGGCAGGACAATGAGCACAGGGTCTCGTGCCTGTGGAACAGCACCGTGACCCTGCGTTACAGGCCCGCCCCGGGAGCAAGGCCGGAGGTAGAGTGGACAGAGGGGCAGCCGCCACCCCCACCTCGCTGCTTTTGGTACCTGGACTCGGCCTGTGTGAGGAACACCTCGAGCTGGTCAGGGCGGATGGTGCTGCAGGCAGGACACGCTCCTCCGCCCGGGGCCTCCAGCCTCCTTACGGTGCAATGCTCGTCTGCTTCCTGCGCTGCACCCGAGTGCCTTCACCACAACGTGAGCATCGAGATCTCCGTGCAGGACGTGCGGCTGTTCGTGCTTTGGCCGCAGACACATCTGATCCACATGTGGCAGCCGGTGGAGCTGGGCTGGTGTGCACGCCTCAAGAGTGCCCGCTGGCAGTACCGCTTCAGCAGCGGGGGAGGCAGCCCCTCGACCCTTCTCCTTCCCAGCGGCGAGTACCAAGACACACCGCCACCTGCTATCTACCCAACAGCTGAGCTGCAACAGACCTGTGCCACCTACCACAGCTACCGCTCGACTGTGCGCTACGGAAACCACGGGATCCACGTTGCTTCGGTCACTGTCGAGCAGATGCCTCAGATAAGCCTCAGCCTCTCTCTCAAGGTGGAGCCTGACTTGCTGCATGTCCTCAGCATTGGCTCCAAGCTCCTTAGTGTTTCTCAGCAGCCCCTTAGCTTGTCCTGGAGGCTTCAGCCCCTGACCATGAGCATACTTGCCTACAGACTGGTGGACACACAGGCTATAGGAGGTTGGCTCCGCTCCTACAGTTCCTTTATGACACCGAGCAACTTCTGTGCCATATCTGCACCTCAGAACAAGAGCGAGATAGTGGTGGCCAGTGTTTACTTTCATGTTGATGGAAAGAGGTTTGAGGAACTGTCAGGAGAACTGCACCTACTCAATGGTACTTTGATCCTAACTGCAGGCAGAGAAACTCACACCCACATCAACCTTCACCCAGGGAAGACCAACAGCAGAACTTACATTTTCAGGTACAGCCAGGGAACATTTTACACATCTAAAGAAAACAACAGCCCTGTTTCCACAGATAGCCCTAATACACACACTGTCTTCTACCAACACAAAGAGCTCTCCTACTTACTCACCATAGAGTTTGTGGCCTTCCAGTGGTACAAGTTCAATATGTACCTTTATATGAATCAGAAGAGGGCTTTGCTTAGGTCTCTGGCAGAAAGAGACCTTGAAGTACATGTTTTCAGTAGCCACCCTTCTTTTCTGCAGAACTTTACTTATTTAGTGTGGTTTATCCCCACCCAACATCCGATGCTGCAGTGTGAGTGGACCTTCCATCTGCAGCTCCTTGGAACACAAAAAGACCACATTGTCCAGAACAGCACATACACATACAGCGATCATGTAAAAGACGCCACGCGTTTTGTCCGTCGCTCTGCTTTACCCTTTGACGCAGAGAATTACACGGGGTTTGTGGCAAAGGTGAACTGTACTGGCAGTGCACCTACACCGGCTCTTCTAAGAGTCAGAGTCAACAACTATACTGAAAAAACCATAGAAGCACCAGTGGTTTGCCAGG